AGGAAACCACGAATCGTCACTGCGAGTGGGTAGAAAAACCGCCCGGATTTGGTGAATTCTCTCGCAAGGAGTTTTAATTGAAGGAAGTAGAGCAGCATAAATACGAAGAGTAACTGTGTTTTATTTCGTATCAAAGCACGGAATGAAGAGATTCGAAAGTCGATCTCATCAGAAGAGGACGGCTGATTCCCTTTGTACTGCAGTTGTATGGCATTGATATGACGTTCAGGTTGACGAAGTCTAAGAGACATCGGTCCTCGTTTGAAGTGAAAACGGGCTTAGCTTTCGTCCATCATATAATGGCCAAAACCTGAGAGTAGCCGTTTTGATCATTCTGATTTAGGACCGGTACTGCGAAAGACCTTAGCACACACACCCAAGCAAAAGCAGAAGAACCAATATTACATATAACTGGCCAAGTCATTCCAGATCTGTCTATGCCCATTCATTTTATTTCGTTTAATTGAGTCTATATAAGAGGTAAGGTAGAGAGAGAGAGTCTTCTTGCTCTAGTGTTAGCGTGCGACTTTTACTAGAATGATGATGATGATGATGATGAAAGGAATCATAAGATGGACGAAATTTCAGCCCATTTTCACCCTAAGCGAGGGAGGATGTCTCGTGAACTGCGTCAGTCTGAATGCCGTATTAAAGCCATACGGCCGCAGTACAACGGGATTGACTTTTGAATCTTTTCTTCCTGCATTTTCTTACGAAATAAAAGTCTTTTCAACATTTTTTTCAGTATTTTTCATTTTATTCTCTAACTTGGAGCACATTTCTCGCTTGTCCACCATTCCCTCTCGACCATGCCAGAAGTCGAAAACGTCCGTTTCGAGACATCGAACAGAGTGAAACCAGCGTCTACGAAGCTGGTCGGCCGGACTCCGGACTCATCCGAGGCTGTCAACATACGGCACCACTGCCAGGGTCGCCCGGCGACACCGAACGACAGACACCTGCCTGGCCAATCTCGTGGTTGCCGGGTTCTCTGTCGTCGGCCAGCGGGTCAGGCCTGCTTCCGCTGCATCTGCTTTTGTCACCGTTCCTCCTCTCCTCCGCCGGACAGTCGATCTCTGACGCCGGCAGATCCACACCATCCTTCTCCTCAGTGCTCAATTCCATGGCTCCTCCTCCACCCTCCCATCTTCTGACGAGTCCTGCGATTTTTCCCATTTCGCCCCACTCATCCACCGGTACACTGCCAGCCTCCTGCTCCTCGTATCCCTCTTGCTTCTCAGACTCTCTCTCCTGCCTCAGTCCCGAGGCGAAGCAACCGCTTC